ACTTCGGGGAGGCGACGATCACGCTGCAGGACGTACAAGTCCTATTCGGTCTCCCGATTGATGGAACGCCTTGTTGGGCAGTGACTTATGATCACACACCCCAAGAATGGCGAGAAATGTGTTATGATTGCTAGGGTTCGAGCCCAAAATGGAGGTAAATTTTTTCCTACAATTTTTTTATTATTATTTTGTTTATGTTTACTCAACATATTAATTTAAGATAGTATATAAACCACTCTCAGGCTGACAGCGACCCCAAGACTTGGGCCATTACAGGCCAGTTTTTGAAGACCTGGGCGTTAGAAGAAGAGTGCAATAGACTACAGAGAGCTAACCGGTGAAGAGCATATCTCGGACTACGACCAGAGGGCGAAGGCCTTTATACTCTGGTGCATCGGTTCCTTCTTCTTCCCCTGACCAGAGGGCCAATGGCGTGAACTTTTACTGGTTGCAGCATTTGCATGAGATCGACGAGATCAAGAGCTACAGTTGGGATTCGGCTGTTTTGACTGGAGTGTATAGAGCGCTAGACACGAGCGCCAATGCTGGGGAAAAGTGGATCAAAAACTGTGACCAATTGATTCAGGTAAATAAATGTACTTACTTGTTATTTCAAAATTCATTTTTTATTCTAATTTAGACTAATATCTAATAACAAATGCATATGTCAATATGTGTAGGTTTGGGCATGGGAACGTATCCCTCGTATTCCCCAAGAATGAGGGATACGAACTTTGAGAAAGTCCTTGGATGTCCCTTAGGAGGAACGTAATCACATTTATTTTTATTTAAATTTTAGAATATTTCAATTATCAAATTTTGTGATTACAATTTTTTTATGTGATTTTAAAGGTGGGTGGGACGGAAGGACACGGGACACGTAGGCAAGGGAACAGCCGCTGTCCGAGATCAATTGACAGGGATGAGAGAGACGGATATAAGTTTATTATTAAGTCATAATGATTATTATCTATGTTTATTTTTTGTTTTTTATTTTTTATAACTTAATTCATAATTTTTTTTTTTTTACAGTTCGATTGGATGCCCTATAAGCGCCACATGGACAAGGGTATTCTCCCGGCCCAGTGTACAGAAGGTTCACGCCTCTGGATGTATAGGGGGTGAATGTTCTGTTGGAACAATCGTGAACCCCACCTGCCTGATAGGGTCCTCCGTCAGTTCGGGTGTCGGTAGTCCATCCCCGACTCTCCGATCATTAGGGGTTTAGCCGAATACGAGACACACCACCAAGGCCAAGGAATGACTAAGAGGGCATTCTTTGATTGGGTCGGCTTTCATGGACCGCTTGGGAATGTTTGGGTCGAACAAAGAGCCTAAAATGTCTTCCCACATTACCCTGTGGAGTCATTCCTTGAGCCTGAGGCGGGTTACCTTGATTGGCTTCACGAGAGGACTGTGAGACTAATCAGTAACCCTGGCAACTACCTGGTGGTCCAACAAGACGGAGGCTATCAGCCACTTGCCGAGCAGGGGATGTGCAGTGTAAGTGTTCATAATTTGTGATTTTTTTATTATTATTATTATGAATTTTTATTTTGTTTAATAGTAATAATTTTCAATTTAATTTTCAGGCCCAAGTCATGGAGGGGGTCCATAACTTGTTATCGAGTCTTGACATTAGTAGGCTCACTCCAGAGCAGCATGTCATAATCGCCCAGTCCCAAAACATGCGCTATAGTGGACTGACTGTTGGAGGACAAGGGGTCACGCAAGGGACGTGGTCGAGTCAAGTTTATTTCAGGAGAGCTTCGTCCGACCCCAAACGACGCAGCGCACCGGGCAAGGCATCAACCCGCTGCCAATATTGGTGGAGGTAGAAGACGCCATGCCCGCGAACTCGCTGCCAATATCAGGCCTGAGGAAGAAGAAGAAGAAGGTCAAAATTTTTTATTTAACTTCAATATGGTTTATTTATTTATTTATTTATTGTCAAGTAGAATTTCTAATTTTTTTTTAAAAAAAAATGAATTATTCAGATAAAGAAGGAGAAGAAGCTGCCACGCCCACAACCTCGTCTTCTTTACAACCACCACAGCGTCGGATGGGCTCCCGACAGCGCAAACCTCCGAATCAATTCACTCCTAGCAACTATTAGGGAAAATTTATGGACATTTTTGTTTTTTTTTTTTCTTGAATTTTGTGTAATTAAATTTAGACATATTGGTATTATGAATAAATTATTTTGGTTGTGGAATTTATATATTTTTTATGAATTTTGGTTGTGAAATCGATTTCGACAAACATGTGTGTTTTCTTTTATTTTGCTTGTAAAGTTGTTGTTTCTGCACAGAAAAACGTATTCTCAGAAAACGTTTTTTTTTTTTAATAAAACGTATTATGAGAATACGGTTTAGGGCAAACAAAAAATTAGGGAAAAATTGGCGCATTAAAAACGTACTCTCACAATATGTTTTACATAAAACGTATTTTGACCATACATTTTTTATATTTTTTAATTAATTTTTAGCAACAAATAATATAATAAATTTATTTTATTAGCAAACCGTATTAATAAAATACGTTTTACTTCTAAAACATATTTGTGGAATACGTTTACTTTTAAAACGTATTTCTTTAATATGTTTTCTATTTATTAAATTAAATTAATCACGATTTATGTAAAATTTAATTAATTTAATGACACCATTAATTTTACTCAGCATAAAACGAATTGCAATAAAACGTTTAGCCTCTAAAACGTATTATGAGAATACGTTTTACCTTAAAAAACGTATTCTCATAATACGGCTGTTTTAGTTTTGTCCAATCGCTTTTTTTTTGTCCACTCTTTTTTTTTGTTTAAATAAAAAATTTATTCATCTCTTCTTCAATTATCTTCTTTACTCTTTTAATTTTTTGTTCTTCTTCATCTTCATTTTTTTTTTTCATTCTTTGTTTTGTTTTTTAATTGTTTTTAATCACTTGTAAGGGTTAGAACAAGGCCTTCAGATTTAAAGATCTCGATGATGAATCACGAGGCGGGTTGTGTTCGAGGCGACGATAACCTGCAGACGCTAGTTTATTTAAAAAAAAATGTAGAAAGTTAAGTTGATCTTTTTTTTCGGGTTCACCAGGTTTTGAATTATGATTTTCTTACCATGCTTTTTCATTTTCTACAATTATGAAAAAGATAAGTCGATATGTTCCAGATGTCTACTTTTATATTTTAAATTTGCTGAATAACATGAATTCAAGTTCTTTCTTACAAGTTAATTCGATATTGCCTCCCAGTTTCTTCAACACAAAGAAACTCAAAGCCATGGGATGACTCATATGGGTAAGTGAATTTAATTTATAATCTCTAATAATTGTACGAATTTGCAAGGTCGCCGACGAATTTACAAAGTTGGTGTTAATATTTTATTGTAAATATAAAGTTGTTTTTATGTTGCTTGAAATATGTTATATTGTTGTTTTGTTGTTATTTCAATA